TATGTATGTATGTATGTATGTGTATATAAGTATAAATATAATTATAATTAAATTTAATATTGTATATACTTTTTTCCCGTTTGGTCTCCGTACGCCCAGATTCATTACCAAAATCCTCAAAGTGTTTGGCGTCATCCCTAATGAAGGACCTGTGATAGGTTTCCCCACCGGTTCTGGAGGTGCCAATGTATGTGTCTCCTAGCAACGGTCTATGGAGTGGAGTGGGTTCTTGTTGTGTCACACACTCCCATCCTTCATGGCTAGGCTTGTCGTGGTGCCTTGGCACTATAGACTCCTGCTAATATCTCACCTGTACTTGTGTGGTGTTGTATTGTATTGTGTTTCTACTTCTAACGTCTGCTCGTAGTCGGCCATTGCGGGTTGTGCTGTAGTTTTGTTCTCATATGTTGTAGTTATGTTCTCATATGTTGTAGTTATGTTCTCATAGGTTGTAGTTATGTTCTCATATGCTGTAGTTATCGTGATTGATTGCGTACTGTCATTGCCCACAGCGCATTGTTCCGAATGGTCTGTGTGCAGTACACCCCCTCGCACAAGTTATAGGAGGGTTACCTATGACAGTATAGGGTTGCCTGTGAAAGTATAGGGTTACCTGTGAAAGTATAGGGTTACATATGAATGTATAGCGTGGGTGCCCAATCAGTTGCTTTCCTACAAAAGAGACAGACGAACTCGCCCTCAATTATGAGTCTATGAATGCGCCGAGTAGTGTGCGTCCTGCACCGATAAGCTTGTCACTTCAGACCCATTGACGCAGCTACATAGCTAGCTATTTATGCAGTACATAGTACCCAAGCCTCCTTCCAACACCCTTTCGGGATTTGCAGTCGTGATGCCAGTGTGATAGTAACTGTCATACTAAAGGTGTGATAGTGCCTGTATTGCTGAAAGGTGTGATAGTAACCATTTGGGTGTGTATCGCTGGTCCTATTCTCTCAGGTCGAGGACGCCATTCTGCCGATTGCGAAAGGACTATCCGATTTCCGCGACGAGATCAGAAACCTGGGCCTCAATCGTGAGCCTAAGGGTATGTGTACCTTACACACAGTAAACGGACCAGATGATTGAGTGTGTGCTTGTACTCATGCACTGTGCTTGAATTCATACACTCATACACTGTGCTTTATTCATACACTCATGCACTGTGCTTGTATTCATACACTCATACACTGTGCCTGTATTCATACACTCATGCACTGTGCTTGTATTCATACACGCATACACTGTGCTTGTATTCATACACTCATGCACTGTGCTTGTATTCATACACTCATGCACTGTGCTTGTATTCATACACTCATGCACTGTGCTTGCGCTTGAGTTGGTATGGCCCTGCTAAAGGGCAATAGGCTCCTCTGCCGTGCTTGTTCGTAGAGGCTATCATACTTGTTCACAAGTGCTTAGCTGGCTATATAGTCTGTCCTTTGGCACCAGTGCCTCAGGTGCGGTGAATCGCACGTCTCGCAGTGTGTTCGTCTCTTAACCTCTAAGTCTATCTCACTGCACACGTGTAGATACGGAGGTCTTGAAGGTGTGCGATCGCTACCGTGACGATGTGCTGCCTGAGTTGGGCATCCGAATCGAAGACAAACCCAATGAGAGGGCAGTGGTCAAACTAGTCGATCCACAGGAACTGCGCAAAGAGAGAGAGCGTGAAGAGCTGGAGAGGGCAGCTAAGGAAGAGAAGAAGGCGGCTCAGAGAAAGGCCCAGGTATGTATATATATTATATATATATATATATATATATATATATATATATAGTATGTTATTATAGTATGTATGTATATATATAATATATATATATATATATATAGTGTGTGTGTGTGTGTGTGTGTG